ATATAAAACTAAAGTTAAGTTTTAAAGAATTAGAAGGAAAAATAATAAGCAACCAACCAATATAACCAACACAAAAGAATTCAGGGAAGAAAGCTAATTTTAAGAAATAAAAATATAAGAAAAACAAACTAGAAAAGAGAATGGATATATATCAAAATATATCAATATTTCTAATAAATGTACATGGGCTAACTGCTCCATACTCAAAACAAAGATTGTTAAAATGACAAAGAGGCATAAAGTAAGCAAATAAATTAAGATTGCACACTAGCATGTGTCAGCTCCAGGGGTTACACCCAAATTGCAGTACTCTGGCCAGGACAGAGTAATAGGGACAAGATCTACTCTCCCAGAATATAAAGAAAAGCAAATAAACATGAAACACTGGCAGTGGTGAGCAATCATTACAGGACTAATTCATGGAAGATGAAAAATGAATGAGCTATGATTACCTCCCCTCATCACCTGAGAGACTTTGCCAGATCAGATGCAATAAGATGGAGTCCAGGTAAAACCCAACCAAGGTGAGGAGGTGAAGCTCAGACTCCAGGGAGCCCAAAGTAACCAGAGTTCTCAGGACATAACTTCAAAGAAGAGGGAAGAACATAAGGAAAAAGCCCTCGAGGCCAGTAAATATACAAAAGGTCTGCAACATATAGGAAGAACTGCTCCAGACAAGCATGTCACAGAACTACCCAGGACTGAAGAAAAAACCATGTGAAAAGAAGAAAATATCGGGAGAAGTGGGGTGAAAAGAGTCACTGCTTTCCAAATGACTTGTCAGAGTCTCAAAACAATGCTCCTGAAAATGGATAGGAATACAAAGATAATCAGAACCCAAAAATGGTAACACTCATCATTTCAGGCATCCAGTCAAAGATTACTAGACAGGCAAAGAGTCGGGAAAACAAAAATAAGCCTCATTTCATTCAGAGTCTCAAAACAATGCTCCTGAAAATGGATAGGAATACAAAGATAATCAGAACCCAAAAAAAGGTAACACTCATCATTTCAGGCATCCAGTTAAAGATTACTAGACAGGCAAAGAGTCGGGAAAACAAAAATAAGCCTCATTTCGGGAAGAAAACTCACCAGTTGGAAATGACTTAAAACTGATAGAGACCTTTACATCAGTAGACTTGGACATGAAATCAGTATTTCATAAATTCAAAAATTAATAAGAAGATACTAAAATCAAATTTCTAGAGATAAAAACTATAATATTTATGATGAAAATTCACTGGCCAGGTAACATTGCAGGAAAAAAAAGGTGGTGCTCTTAAAAGCACAGAAATAGAAATTATCCAAAATAAAATACACACAAAGAAAATAATTCTAGGCCACTAAAGTTTAAGTAGCTTAAGAATTTCACTTAAAGAGTAAATGAATTTGACTTGAATCTTTGAAAATTTTTAAAGATTATTTGAAGTTTATTGAGTACATAATATTTTAAACAGTAATCACCATGAATTAGCACAGTTTCACCAAAAAATCTTAGCACAAGTCAAATTATTCTTTTACAGAATCTGAGGATCTGATTAATGCAGCACACATACTAAAAGCGCTTTTAAGTAAATTATTTCATGTGAAAAATTTGGTCAAACGCTGATCAATAGTTACAGATGGATTGTGTCTTAGTTACTTTTCTCTTGTTGCTGAGGCAAAATACACAACACCCAAAGTTAAAGGAGAAAGGGTTTATTTAGCTCACAGTGTATAGAGGTTTCAGTCCATAATTGGTGGCTCCAAGGCAGAGTGCAAAGTTCAGGGCAGTGGCAGAAGACAGCAAAAGCAATGGAGGGGGGTGTCTTCCTGCTCTTTTTATCTTATTCAGACTACTTAGAGCAAGTGGCACTCACACTCTTAGTCCTAGTGCTCTCAGGCCAAGCATTGCGCCATGATTCAATCACTTACTCTAGATTCAGTCACCTTTGAAAAAGCCCCACCTCTCAGACCACAAGAGGCTTGGGGTGGGGCATCTAAACACAAGCCATAAGAGATGGGTTGACTTAACACTAGGTTTTTTTAAAAGTGTTGGAATCCTATGGGTTTGTTTCTGTCTGACTAACATCTTACTAAAGGAGAATAGTGGAGAAAGAAATGTCAAATTTACAAATAACATGAAACTCTGTAGGAAAAGGCATAAATAATAACTAGAAAGTCAGTATGTGTTGAGTACAGATGCAACATATTATTGTTTATATCCAATTGCCCCCACACACACACCCCAAGGCCTCAAACACTCAAACACTCAAACATTTGAGAGGTGACTCAATCATGGGTGTGTGATTCCAGATTAGTCCACTGATGAGTTTGTAGCTGGGTGCGATGTTGAAAGAGGAAGCCTGGTGGGAAGAGATAAGTCACTGTGGACATGACATCGAATGGTTCCCTTACATCCTCCACCCATGATCTTGCCACCGTGTCATGAACAGTTTCACCTCTGCCAAACCCCTCTGGCGTGCAGCCCTGCCTTGAGCCAGCCAACTATGGACTGAAGTTTCTACACACTGTGAGCCAAAACAAACTTCTCCTCCTTTAACTTTGGGTGTTTGGTATTTTCCAAGCAATGAGGAAAATCACTAAGAAACAATGTTTATTTCTAGGTATTTTCGATCCAATGCTGCTTGAACAATAGAACAGAGCCCACGTATGGAAACTACCAACTGCAGTACATCAAAATTTGTGGTACATCAAAGTTTGGAGCTACTATTAAACATTTTACAAGTCATAATTTGAAAAATATTTAATGATGTGTTAAAATGTTCACAACGCAAGGCATAATTCTGAAAATAGTGGATAATGCCAGAGTTTGAGTCCAATTTTGCAGGTGAATGTGTTTAGAAGTACACATGGGAAAATGTACAAGAAAAAAATATTAAAAACTGTCAGTAGTGAATATCTCCACAGGGTAGAAGAATAGTTAAGTTTCACTTTATTTTCTGTTATATTTTCTAGTTTCTTTATGTCCAAATGCTTCTTTTATAAATTTGAACAATTTTATTATAATCACAACTGTGCTTCTGAGTTCCTCCCAAATGACAAGAAAGATCAGCAGCTACAGGAGATGGATTTCAGTTTAATAAACATGTTAAGTTTCTAAGTCAGATTTATCCAAAAATATAGATGACCTTGGGAAACAAGCAGTGCATATATTTCTACCAAGGCTAGATAACAACCCAGGAGGTACATCATAAAGTAAAGTCAAGCAGAAGATGTTTTTAACTTTCACAGTCCTTTTAATGAAAGAATCTCTGAGCCCTTAAATTTAAAAACCAAAATCAGAACCCCAAGAATCCTGAAGTTCAGCCTCTCAAATAGTTCAACGCATAGGTGATAAACAAAAGACATTAGCCCTCCAACTGCCTAAACATGAACTTTTAAGTTTGTAAGGATATTGGAAGTGTTTTCCATATCAGGAAATGCTAACAGATCACAAATTCCAAGTCACTGTCTTTTTTAAAAATTCTCTGAGAATTTACAAAGTTACTTTTAAATGCAGTGGTCACAACAATGAGGCCAAAAAACCTGAAGCTACATTAAATTGAGGAACCAGATATTTTCTTGCCTTTTATTCGTTTTCAGCTGTTTGATTTCAAAAATGTATTTTCGTATCTTCGAAATTTGCAAAGTATTCTCGGTGTCTCTGAATCACATACATTTTCTTGTATTCATTCTGGGAGTAGGATTTAAGTCACTGCCTAGTTTTCTCTTACTCTTGCTGAGACAGCACTCTCTTATGTATCCTAAAAAGATTGCATTGCAGTCTCGTGAATCTGACCAGTGATGCATGAAACCCAGGCTGACTGATGCCCAGATGGATTCAATGACTAAAACAGAGTAGCCCTGGAATTTAGGATCCATCAGCTCTAGTTAAATGAAACCAAAAGGAAATAATGGCAAATTGGCTGCCTTGAATTGAGCGTAAAGAAGAGCCCTGAAATAATTGGACGGCTAGGAAAGAGAAACTTCTTATATATTGTTTCCTTCCCATAACCTTAGAGTCAGGGTTTTTTTGTTGTTCACTTAATATAAGTGACTGTTGCTGAATGATATGTTCTCTGGGGAAAGTAGCACACTGAAGTGAGTTATATCATGAATTTAGTCTAGTTGAAAGCCTCCTCTGAAATTCAAAGTGGTGCCTGGCATGTTGGAGCCACTTGCTGTGCTCAAGAAACACCAGTGCCAGGAGTCTGAGTTCTTGTCCTGCTGCGATGGTTGTGACAGTAGGTGGCACTGCACTGTGCTTGTAGGGACAGCCTCTCTCATACACTTTACAAATACCTTGATAGGTTGGTGTGCTCTCCCCAGTTTACGTGAGGAAATTTGCTCAGTTAGTAAACAGAGGAGCTAGGTTTCAAATCCAGATTTGTCTCCTCCCAAAGTATAGCTCTGCTGCATCTCCTTAGATTGTGAACAAATTCTTCTTTTTCCTCCTGGCTTCAATTCCTGGAATGAAGAAGTAAATTCAATGAGCTGGAAGCAGTCTGCCAGGATAAGTTCTTCGGCAAATGAGAACCTGCTTTGGGCTCTGAATGGGCATTTATTCTTTAATGCCAGTTGTTTGCTGAACTCTCTCCTGCTTCCTCAGTGTTCTTAGTTCGTCCTCTTAGAACTCACTTGCTCTTGTAAACTCTCACCATTTCTCCACTGGAGCGCTGCTGTTCCCAGCACTGGCCTCTGAATACAAGGCTGCTCACTGCAGTCAATGTGGAAGATTTTCGAAAAGCCATTCATTTGGATTCTTAACCCATCTCCGATCATTTTTCTCCAATCATCTTTTGCAAAACATTCGCTAACTTATATTGTTTGGAGCAATTTACTAACAATTTTCATTCTTTGTTCCTCCATAAAGCACAGTTAGCAACTAGGCCTGGCGGTACACACCTGGAATCCCCGCACACAGGGCGGAAGGGGAGATGAGGCAAGAAGGATCATACATTTGAGCCCCATCGAGGCAATTCAGAGACTTAGAGAGACCCTGTCTCAAGATGAAAAACAAAAACTAGGCCAGGAATATAGCTAGGTTTAACACAGTTAAGATCATTTTAAATAGAAATAAATTATTACATCCTCAATAAATATCTTATTACTCAGACTATAGTTGAATATATTAATGGTGTTATTTTTATCTCTTATGAATACTCTGCTTGTGTTTTTTAAAGTTATTATCCCCTCCATCTGGCCTAGTCCTTGTAAGTGTCTGTATCTTCTGTGGTTTCCCCAGATAGAACTGCTCTGCCCGCTAGCCATCCCTCTCCACACTTGTCCCAAAGTCCTCCAAGCAGAATCAGCCAGATTCCTACCTAATGAGAATTACCAAACCAGGCATGGATAATGTTTTTCTTGCCAAATGCCTCTATCTCTCCTATCTAAATTAGTTTATAGAATTGTTAGGGCAGTCTACTTTCACGGTTTTTCTCATTATATATTGTCTGGCTCAGCTCAGCTCAGTTATATATCCCTGGGCCACATAATAAATATTCTTTGATGAGAAGAGGTGCAGGGGACAGGGAGAGAGAGCAAGGAAGAAAAACAGAGAGGGAAAGAAAGAAAGGTGGAGGGAGGGAAGGAGGAAGGAGGGAGAGAGAGAGAGAGAAAGAAAGAAAGAAAGAAAGAAAGAAAGAAAGAAAGAAAGAAAGAAAGAAAGAAAGAAAGAAAGAAAGGAAGGAGAGAGAAAATAAACATGTGATCTTATTGAACGTTTTCAGGTACTCAGGGAATGAAAGAGCATGATAGACCTCAGGGTAGCATTGGAGATGAGAGTCAGTTCCTGAGATGGGTCAAGGTGAACTGAAAAAGGACAGAAAGCAGATGCCTACCATGAAATCAAAGCAGTTGTAATTGAAGTAGCAACGGGAATCAGACATGATTGTTTACTTGAAGCTCTAATTTAGAAAATGAGAGCCTACTGCCAAATCCTCTGCTTTACTTCCAATTACTCTTTCCATTTGTTTTGCTGATGAATTGGAGGAAAATACTTGGTAAGCCTTTCTGGTGCCAAAGAATTGAATGACTTTCCATTGTTTAAAGCCATGCGTTGCCCCACATACCTTTTTGCTCATTAGTACTTAATCTCTCAATTATTCTTTTACACAAACAGATCATCTGTGTAACATACTGCATACAATTCTTAAATTCAGCCAAGTTATTTTTCTTTGCTGCTTAAAGCCAACGAGAAAAAAAAATTATTTCCAGTCTATTAAAGAGAAGAAAGAAAAGTTTCTCAAACTGTGAAAAGGATGAGAGAGAGAGATAACCTAGTTAAAAACCCAAAGACTTTCAAGATCACAACCTAAATCACTGTACAGAACAAAGGAATTCAGTTATCTAAAAGCCTTGCTTACAAAACATATTCTCAAACTATATTTCTGGTGTGAACAGAACAGCCAACTCCTATGTAAATGGGCTTATGTGTTAAAGAGTTAAAATACATAAATGAGTAAATTAAAAATAACTAAACTCAACATTTATTTCCAAAGTAGATGGCTTTTATTTGGGAAATACTGATCTAAGTAAATAGGTCCTATTAATTTACGTAAAATCTTTACCTGAAATAAAGTGGAATTTCAGTATGATGCAACTGCTTTCTGAAAGCAAACTGACATTGTTCAGTGAAAGTATATATGGAACCTACAGTTTCATAATTGCTCATGCATTTGATGACTGGATTAAGTCTTAAGGATAGCTGAACCTGGGGCTAGTGGTAGAGCATTTGCCTACCATGCCCTAGACCCTGAGTTCCATATCCAGCACTTCAATCAATCAGTCAACCAATCAATGAACTTTAAGGATGGATCGTGCAAAGTACCAAGGACAGGGCCTCCTTCATCAGAAAGGGCCTCCTTCATCACAGTGAGTTCACAGAGAATGTGCTAAGTGGCAGTTTAGATACCTGAGAGTTACAAATTGCAGATCTAAGGAAAACCATAGAGATAATCTCACACAACTCCTTGTTTCAAATGAGGAAAATGAGATCCATTGCTCACAGAATGTCACATAAAAGAAAGGAAAGCCTTGGTCTCCATTGTGGTGCAATGCATTATCCTTTTTTTTCCCTAATTTTTTTATAATATTGTTGCCATCTCTCATAATATACTATTAGGAATCTGCTTACTGGAATCTAATCTATCAGTTTGTTGCACCACTTGGTATCCCCCTCAAACTTATCACCTATGGCTAGGCAATAATTGATTGAAAGTGATATTAATTTTCCAAAAGTGAACTAACACACAAATTTAACCCACTTAGATGTTCAATTTAGAGTTTATACAAAGCCTATTTCCTACCTACAATAGATATCACTCCAGATTGTGATTTTAAATCCAAGGAGTATGGAGAGCATCTTTTTGTTCTTCACGTTTCTTTCTCCTTTTTTTCAGCCATCCTTTAGGCATTTGCCTGGTACAGCAGCTGTATTTCTAAGGAGACAGAGGAGCCAGAGGGGTGTGCCAGGTCTCCACAAACCTCACTTCTGCTCTTGCTAAGCTTCAACCCACCATGCACCAACCAGCACCCGCTCCTCTATCTCCACCTGGGCCCTCACGCTTTACAGCTCCCTCTTGTTCCCACAATCTACTCATCTGATATCTGCTAACCACTTGGGAAACTGCAATTTCTTCATTAAAAAGTTGCTTAAGAAAATGCCAAGCTGGATTTAACTGAAGATGGATGGAATAATATTTAAACCAAAAAGAATCTCAGACCTTCTGCTCCAAATTCTTCGGACAACCATCAGAGAACGCCATTATTTTTCCTTAAAGCTCCAATTTGGCATTTCACCAAGACAATTATTCTTTTGGGTTGTTAACATAATCAGATTTTAGACTTGTTTCTTCAATGGAGATCACAAAAAGGCAAAAGTGTAGCACTTGCTTGTCACAGCTTGAGATATTACTTATGTGATATCTCATGACAAATGCATAGGCCTCACAATTAGCATGAAGTTACTTCCTGATCAAACCTATTGTAGGCTGAAAATATTATTAATCAAAGTTGAATTGAACACACGCAACCTACTGAACATCCTAGCTTAGAAACACAGTCCACTGTAGAGTATGGTTTGTTTCTCATAGTGGTTGCATAGCTAGCTGGATTGGTAGCTCACTGTCATGCTCAGCATCATAACAGAAGATCAAATACACAAAAAACCATTGGATCAGGAAAAGATCAAAATTCAAAGTATAATTCTTACTGAATGCTTATAGATTTTGTACCAATTATAATTCACTATATTTTTGTTTTCCTTCTATGAAATACTATGTTGAAATGTAGAATTTAATAAAATAAAAATATAGACTATGACAAAGATATTTAGAAATTGCTTCTTACTTTAGCTAGATTATTTTAACTTTATAAAACTAAATTCCATCTACCAATGTAATGACCATGTATGGCATCATTCTAAGTTTAGGGAAGTGGTGAGTAAAACACAAACCTTTGAGGACAAAGCCTTCTAAGAATATAGCTTGGGAGAGGAGCACATAAAGGAATATTGCATTTACAAGAAAGCACTGGACATGATAGAGGAAGGGTCATGGCACTCTGCCCTTATAAAGCATCTGATCAGTTCTGGAAAGTTATTTTTACTTTTACTTGGAAAGTTATTTGAATTAAGACAATGTATCCTGCTTAGTTTGGAGCCTGGGAAACAGACTCTTTTTCTTTTCTTTTTGTTTTTGTTGTTGTTGTTGCTGCTGTTGTCGTCGTTGTTGTTTTAGTACATGTTTGCAGTACATAATGATTACATTTATCATGGAGAGTTACTATATGTATACAACACATCTTAATTCTTTTTCACCCCATATCACCAGCCCTCCCACCTGGCTCTTTCCAACTCTTGGTCCGTTTCTCATTTGAAAGAAGTCTATTCCAATATTTTTTTTTCAATTCCTTTTCTTTACATTCCCTTTCCCTCCCATTCCTCTCTCTCTGGCTCTTTCCAACTCTTGGTCCGTTTCTCATTTGAAAGAAGTCTATTCCAATATTTTTTTTTTCAATTCCTTTTCTTTACATTCCCTTTCCCTCCCATTCCTCTCTATCTCCTATCACCTCTTTTCCCCTTCCCATTTGAAAAAGATCTCCCTTTTCCCCATCATCTATCTTTTACTTCGCTCTTTGCTTGTACTGTAGGTTTCTCATGTAAGGGAAATTATGTGATATTTAAGCTTGTGTGCCTGATTTATTTCACTTAATATTATAGTCTCTGGATGCATCCATTTACCCGTGAATGCCACCAGCTTATTGTTCTTTATGACAGAGTAGTGCTCCACTGCATAAAATGCCATATTTCTTTATTCACTCATCTGTTGGACAAAAAAAGCTGTATTCAAGATTTAGCTATTACAAATTGTGTTGCCACAAACATCAGTATGCAAGCATCATTGTAAAAATGATGGTTTTAAATCTTTTGGGAAGATATCTTGAAGAAGAATACTTAAATAAAATTTCTATTTTTAGTTCTTTGACAATATTATACTTTTCTTGCACCTGAGAGGCAGGTGGCACAACACTGAGCTAAATCCCCAGCCCACTTTACTTTTGCTTACTACACTTTTCAAATGGCTAAAACATTTAAAAACTTGTTTATTCAGTAATACCCGTCGTTACTCTGTTGCCAAAACTCTGAAACGAACCGCTTTTGACTTAAGCATGTGAGCTCAGATGCTAAAGTCAATGAAAAGTAACTACTACCACTTTACTGTGTTAACATTTTTTAAATACCGAAAATAACCAAATACCTTGACATAAAGAGGCTTTCACTCAGTTTTGCATGAGATTCTGATACTTCAATAGAACCTTACATTGCTCACCTACAATGGCTATCATAAAAGAATCTGGCAGGATTTTGAAATTCAGTTACTCCATCCTTTCTTTGAGCTGCTGATTGGAAAAGACAGAAGAAAAAGAGTTGTCGAGTCTGTGCCAGTCTCTTGGCTAGAATATGCTGAAAGATGGGTAGTCGGCTCAAGTTTTTTAAAAATACTATTTTCTAAGTTCTTGCCAAGTAATAATTTTATCAG